CTTAGATGTTTGCACATGCATCTCTAATCTCTATGTATCTGATTATTACTAGTCACAGTTGATTACTTTCTGAAATCCTTGGCACCTGAGCATGGATATAAAATCATCACATAGATTTCAATGGTCATGTTTTTCACCTCTACTAATTAATATGAAGCAAATTTTTATGCTTCTTCCTCAAATATAACTCATTTTTTAATTTATTTTTTGTGTGTATTTCATACAGAACATCCGAAACAATCTTATTCATCTATATACCCACATCCCAAGTGACACCTTCCTATTTCTCCCCACCCCCCCCACTGGAGCCCATATACTCTGTCATCCCTGTGACTGTCCACTGCATTGTTGGCACCCCCAGCTGTTCCCCAGTGCTTGTCCATCTGCTGAGTCTAGTCAGCCTATGTGGAGTTCCTTGTTTTAGGAAGATCAGCTCTTCCTCATCTAGCAGCAATCAGTTGTCAATATTTCTTTAGATAAGATTGGGGTCTGCTGTTCATTTTCCCAGTTCTATGCTGGATTACTGTCTGAGAGTCTCTTGGGCCACCCTGGACAACAACTCAGAGGAAGGTATCTTGTTATGTAGCCTTTAGCTATACACATGGACTCTTAAAGAATTATATTGGCCCCTTTAATCTTTGGTTATACTTTCCTTTCAGGTGTTTAAGACCATACAGTTGGCCCAGATAAACCAATTTATTTTTTACTCTTTTTTAAAAACTTTTTTAAAAATTTAAGCTGGCTTTGCTTGGAAGCATGGAGGAAATGTTTCCTCTGTGTTGACCCTCTTCTTTGTAGACTGGACACTGGTTCAGGTCCATTTGTGGGGTCTCCATGGCCTCCTTGATCAAGTGGACAGGTGACTCACCACAGTTACAGGACATTTTGAGAGATGTTCATAGTCCCCTGAAATTTAGTCGACCTAGGAGGGCAAAGAGCAAAAACTGTCCTTTATGTCCCTCTGACCTCAAAGGCCCTTAGTAGGCCTCAAAATATGGCTGTTAAACATCCAAGAAGGCTGGTTCCATCAGTCTGGTACTTTTAATTACCATGTGCTGTGTAGATAAAGCTTGGGCGAAGACCAAACGTTCTCAGATAAACCTTGACTACACATATACTATATTCCTTGATCTAGTTGTATGTATAATTTGTCAGCAGGTTGTTCGATTAATATGGTTCCCTCTGGTTTTTTAAAACTAGCTAGGCATTATTTATCTCTCACATTGTCTAACCCTTCCACCATGGTTTCCCCATTTAAAGTGCCCCCATTTATCCCATTTCTCGTTTAATAATACCCTTCTCCTATGGTCCCACCTCTCTTGAGCTCCTTCTTTCTCTTTATCCCCAAGGTTCCTTGTATAACCCTCCCCCCCTTCCCTTAAAATAACCCCATTTTAACCCATACCTCCCTTATTAACACCTGTTTCCTACTGTTCTTCTCTTTCAGATTCCTTCTTTCCCTTTACCTCCCTGATTCCTTTCAATAATCCTGGTTGCTGCAGTTACATCAAGATATGCACTCACTTATAAGGATTTGGTGCTAGGATCCACAAATGAGAGAGGACACACATTTTTTGTTTTTCTGGGTCTGTGCTACTTCCCTTAGTATAACAGTTTCTAGATCCATCCACCTACCTGCAGATTTCATTATTTCATCTTTCTTTACTGCTGAATAGAACTCCATTGTGTAAATATACCATATTTTTGTTAACCACTCCTCAGTTGAGGGACACTTAGGTTGCTTCCATCTCTTAGCTATTGTGAAAAGAGAAACAATAAACATGGATGTACAAGTGTATCTGCAATAAGATGAGTTGGACAGCAGGTGGAGGACGGACAGCAGGTGGAGGACCAGCAGCAGGTGGAGGACCGACAGCAGGTGGAGGACCAGCAGCAAGTGGAGGACAGACTGCAGGTGGAGGACAGACAGCAGGTGGAGGAACAGCAGCAGGTGGATCTTTCTTTTCCTCACAGCACAGTGGCTGACCAGGAATAAGAAGCACACAAAGACTACAGTCTACTTTTCTGGAAGTGCTGGTGCCTCCATCCAGTGATCACATCCATGCCAGTCTTCCTTGTGAGTGCCCTGGGGACTGTTTGGGGCTCCTATTTGAAAGGTAGCCAGATACAGTCAGGACAGTTTCCTAGGGAGGGCCTCCCTTGGCAGCATCAAGGATGCCCTGCTTCCATACTCTGAATGCCAGTGCAGCTGGATTCCCACCATGCCTCTGATCTGCTGCGAATGAAAGATGTGTGTGTGTGTCCAGGTCCTCCTCCTGTATGGCATTGCTGATCCGTCTGATCTTTCTTACAAGGCAGAGGTACTGTTGGATACAAGTCAGAGCCAAGCAGGAGACTATGTTATGATGAGGTGCCATCTCGATGGGCTGAGGCTATCCATATGTTTCCTTAGTGTAAAGTGTTAGGAGAATACAATGGTAGGCTAGCAGTTTCTGGAAACTCCACAGGGTCACCATCCTGTCTCTTATAAATTCCTGAGGACAGGATCATTGACAGAGGCTCACAGAAGCCTGTAAGGCCCACAGCTATATTGTGAACACATGAAAATGTCCTTGCCATTCCGTTTCTTAGGGAACCAGGCTCATGTGTGGTTGAGTGAAGACAGTGTGTCAGAGGAGAGAGGCAGGGAGATGGGGTCTGTCAAGTTCCCTCCCTGCCTGAAGTGGGTGGTGACTCTCCCTCAGTCCTACCCACTCTTTGCATTGGGAGTCAGATGGAACCCAGGGTTACCAGGGCTTCTTAATTTCAACTGGAAGATGGGCTAATACTATTTTTTATTTTTTGTTTATTGAGACAGGGTCTCTCTGTAGTACCAGCTGGCCAGGAACTCACTATTTAGGCCAGGCTGGCCCTGATCTCACAGAGATCTGCCTATCTCTGCCTCCCAAGTGTTGGGATTAAAGGTGTGAGTCAACATGCCTAGCTCTGCTTGTACTATTTTTATTTTTTTGACAGGGTCTCCTTGTAGCCCCAGCTGTCCTGGAACTCACTATGTAGACCAGACTGGCCTCGAACTCACAAAGATCCACCTGCCTCTGCCTCCCAAGTGCTGGGATTAAAGACGTGCACCACCACGCCTGACTCTAGTGGGCTTTATAAGACAGTGTCTTCGTATATAGCCCTGGTAGGCCTAGAACTCAACAGGTAGACCAGGCTGGCCTTGTATTTTCAGTGATCCTCCTGCCTCTCCCCTCTTGAATGCTGGGATTACAGATACGTGTTACCACATCTAGTTGGGAAAGGGAATTTTCAGAGAGAAAAGGTAAAGAAGGAATGTGAGTGTTTTAGGGAGATCATGATAGAAAAACAGTGTTGCTTGTCAGACCCAGTGGGAGTGGGAGCCAGAGACACACCTCCATGCTGATGGATGCTGCAACCTGAGGTGTTCTTCAGAGACCTCTATTCAGGTAAAGCCCGGATTCTTGACTACACTACAGAAAAGAATTTGAGGATGAGTCACTATGAAGCAAAGTTGGAGATTATTAAGACAGATTTTAGTACAGATTTAAGCACCAGTGAAAATTACAAAAAAGAGAGGTTATTTCATGCAGGAGGGACTGATGTATTGAGCCTGATTGCTAAACATAGTCACAATTGGACTTGTTGACGGTTGTGCTCATTCATTAAAGGAGTGCCAAGCAGGGTCACTGGACCCTCACCTGAATAAC